GGCCCATGGGTGACATCAGCTTCACTCAGTGAAGCAGATCAGCTGTGCCAGGATACATCCCAGTACAGATGATCCACTTTATTTGGCAACCTCTGCTTATAGCCTTTATTACCTCAGGAAACAGTCTGAATATGGCTTGTGTAGGGACTTGCTGCTCTGAGTTTAAGTTTTAGTGAAAGTTCTTCCCTACCTAATGAGTATCCCATTTTCCTTTTACCTCGAAAGAAAACATGTTTAATATTGAATCTTCCTTGGGGAAAAAAACTTGGAATTAAGTTACACAAGAAAAAATCTGAGCAAAACTGGCAAAATTAGCTGAGTGGAGTGTGAACCTCTGAAAGTCATGAAGTGTGTCCATTCCACAGTAAACATCTGTACAGCAGCTTACAAATGTAAAAACTTAAGCAAGGGCCAGAGTCAGACACTGCCACTTTATGAAATCTACAAATACTGCCTAATGAAATGTAAACTACAAATATGCACAATAGTTTCCAACTGTCTTATTTACACATCAGCACTCATCCAAAGATTGCCTTTACATTACAATAATGGATGCAACAGCAACTTTTTTTCTACTAGTCTCTCATTTCTACAAAAATCTATACTACCTTTTTAAAATAAATCAAGTCTTTCCTCCACTCCATTGAAAACTATTATTATAATAACCAAGGATCTGGGTTTTCCATTTTCCACAGAAAAATGGAAAAAAACCATGGATTTTCCCTTTTAATGAAACAAAACTGATTTTTCATTTTAACAGAGATACCCACAGATTTTGCAGTTTTGCAAAGAACTCTGCAGGCTGGCAAAGTTCCAGCCTGCAAGAAATTTTTGTAAAGAAGGCAGCAAACCCTAAGCAATGTCCAGAGGGGAGGGACAGGGCTTGAGCAGGGCCTGAGACTCTTAGTCAGCCAGGGCTTGGCTCAGGCTCACTTTCCCTCCTAGAGCCTTTGAGGTAAGTGGTTCTTGCTGGGGGCCAGTTGGAGATCCCCTCCGATGGGGCTGGGGGGGTC